ATGGAGAACCAACAACCAATGGATTCGACTCAAGAGCCTTTATTTGCTGACCTGCCGGATGAGACATTACGATTGTCACAAGCTTTAAGATGACACAATCGAGATGAAGATCTTTAAGAACGACATGTTCTTCCTTGAATAGATGGCAAGATATAATTCATTTGGTATCACGACCTTGGAAGGGACTCTTGGTGTTTGGTGATTTTACTAGAAGTACGAAAAACTCTTGATGGTGTTCCAAATGTTCTATTCAAAGGAAGTTATGAAGGCCTCAACAATGATCAAATAACTGGGTAATCTTCCCGCCTTGGTATGGAACACTATTGATGGTTGAAAAGCCCTATCAATCATCTTCGAAGAAGATAAAGATGAAAGTATGTAGCGAATATAATTTGTTGCATCATAGATTTTTTCAACATATGATGACTGCTCCTCATGGAATTCGTCCCTATAAAGGGAGGTAATATCACGGACATACTCATGTAAGCTAGTAATTATATATATAAATAAGTAGAAGTAAGTAAAAGTAGATAAAAGTAAGTTAATTCTATAGTATTTGATATGAAAGCTTCCTAGAAGCTTCATAGATGTTGCTTTGACTTTATAAGTGTCTTTAATTAACCTTTTGGATAAGAAACGTGGTCAACAAGTTGGCCATGTGCCACACATGTTGTTAGCTTGAAGACCCAGCTAACTATGAGGCCCACACGTAGAAAAACTTGCCTTGTAAGTCAAGGCAAGTGTCCTACAAAGTCAACACATATTAGAGGTCCTATAGAATGTCGCCATGTAGCTCCTAGTTAGATAGTATATATAGAGACAAGAGTGAAGCCTTCTTCACTCTTGTCAACTCCTTTTTTATTTCCAATCTAGTTTCAAGAGTCATCATATTTTCTAGTCTTTTCTAATTTCTTTACTATATCTAATCTATATATTTTTGAATATATATATATATATATATATATATTAATGTGTGTATATGTGTGGATGAAAAAAAGTAAATAAGACTCAAGAAAAAAAATGATAGAATTTAATTGTCTTGAATTCGTTTTTATATACATATTTTTTATTATATATATATTGTCACAAATTCTAACAACTTGTGGTTTTTTTTATTTAATTAAAAAAATATGCATAATTCAAATGAAAAAAAAAAAAAAAAAAAAAAAAAAAAAAAAAATCTTTGACCATAGTTTTATCATGATTTTCTAAGAAAAGTTTCAAATACTCAAAAACAATGTCAAAGATTTGGAATGATTTCAAACAGAAGTATACTAAAGCATGCTAATGTTTATTATTTTAATTATATATCATATTATTTTAATATTATTTATAAAGAACTGATTGTCTTAACATATATATCCTATACATATCCTACACATAAGACAAATATATCTTGTTAATCTTTTGTAAAATAACTACTAAAAGTTGCAAAAGTTTTTAAAAGGGATATTATTTTATAAGACATGAATTTCTTTTTAAAATATATTTTAAATAATAGAATTTTTATATTATATTTTTTTATTTTAATGTTGGAAGATTCTATTCTTTTGTTTGCAAACATAATTTTCATGATAATAATGCTAGGTCTAACTTCATTTAATTCCTTTATTCAGCTCCGTGGGGATTAACCAACATTATTCTTATGAATAATATATATATACATACATACTCACACTATGGTATCCAAGCATGATTAGGAAATACAAATGTTTATTTATAAATGATATTGGAACCTGATTATTTATTTATTTATTTTGTATTTAAAAAAAATCAAACAGGTTTTTTGAATACAAAATTTACTATTTAATTTTTCAAAAAACGAGTTAATAAATTTAAGTATTTAACCTTTTCTTTTTCAAAACTCATGTATCAGTCAAACAAACATTGCTCGGAATTGTTTTCCTTCACTTCACTGCTATCAGTAACTCAGAGCTCACCATGACCCCCTTCTCACTCAGTACATTACTTTTGAATTACCATCTCTCTCCTGTTCTTTCGTTTTGTTTGGTGGTTTTTTTGTTTTTTGTTTTTGTTTTTTTCCCAAAATCACATCATTTGTACAGCAACATCTTGTTTCAGTAGCCAACTGTCAAGCACAAGAACCACTACATATTGCAAACATCCTATAAACAACAGCATAAGAAATAAGAACTAAATAGTTTGTTATATTAGTGGAAAGGTGGTCATGAGCCAAAAGCTGTAAAGGTAAACCGCCGTTTCTTATCAAGTTTCCGTATAAAAGAACAGATCGCATGATTCATCCTGAATTTGCACAAACGATAAAATATTGGCAATTCTTTAATACACACAATTCAGAAAGTAAATGGTAAATGGTCCCGAAACATTTCCTTACGGCGGAATGAATGACGCCGAAGAAGAATGTTTTGCAACCTTCCCACCCACCCCAACCATTCTTCCCCTTCTCCGTGACGTTATCCGTGACCACTCTATGTTTAGATACCGCTCCCTACTGCCGCCGCTCATGCCGCACCTGCTGCCTCGTGTCCACCCATTCTCCGCTCCACGGAGCACTACCCTCCATCTCTGTTGTGGCGCCTCTCTCGCGGATTTCCCTTCTCCGCAGCCGGGGGGTGCAATCTCATCCCCCCTTCCTCACGGTCAAGAAACCTACCTCTGCCTACATTTCACTGACTGTCGTGGTAAAGTTGAAGCAAATTTTGTGGAGATTGTGTTGTAGCAATCGAATTGGCTCCGAGCGATCATGAACAAGAGGAATCGGGCCCTTTTTGCATGATTGAAGAAGGATTCTAGCACGATTTATTGTCGCTTCGGTGCGTGCCCGGGCAACACAGAAGACGACTCTTTTAACCGGCGTAGTTCAACAAACCCTACCTCCCCCTGGATTCCAATTCCAATGTGCAAACAAGTTCATTGAAAAGTTGCTCTCCGGGAAATGCTAGGGAGTTAAAACAAATTATAAATAAAATCCGCCGTAAAAAAACTAGACAAAAGAAGTGAACCGAAGAAAGGGAAGTCCATCTATTCTGGGCCCAGACAGGCAGAATGGGAGATCATTCCCCGCTCGAGAGGGCTTTGCGCTTTGCCATAAGCCCATCGCCATGGCTCGAAGTGATGGAGAAAAAGGCAACAAACGAGGCTTCACTAACTCCAAAAAGCATATCCCACATGGAGAAGATAAAAAGGAGGAGGAAGGTGGTGTGTGTCCATCATGGGAAAAAGATAACAAAGGCACTACCATCCCCACACCTCTCTCCCCCTTTCTTTCTTTCTTTCTTTCTTTCGCACATCTCCCATCCAATTAAATTAGTCTTGGTCGGATTTGATGTTCAAATTTTTCTAGGTCTTATTTAATTTCTCAAGTATCTATGATGTTAGTGGCGATTGTTGAAGCTTTAGAATGATGTCTTTAACCTTCTCAATTCCAGGAAAACTGAATTTTTTTTCTATGTCATTCTTGCATTGATATTGTTCATTGTCCTTACCTCCATCTTCCTTCTACCACTTATCTATGTATTATAATCTATTTTGTTGTGTTGTCTTTCTTACAATGTCAACATTTTTCTTTCTCTTTCTTTGAACCATTTTAAAAGATTAGTTTTTTGATAAATATTCTTGATGTAAATTTTAACCTTATATATATATATATATATATATATATATGGTTATATTTCAAACAAACTATTATACCAAAAATAAACTCTAAAATCTAACTTCAAAAATAACTCTCACATATGTAATTTAATAAGTAATAATATTTTATACCTTTCTTTTCTTATTACACATTTCTTTTAATATTTCATATGAGAAAAAGAAAAAGAAAATACCTTTACATATATATATATATATATATATATATATTTATATTCTTGTTTTTGAATAATTTAGCTTCTAAAATTCTTGACAAATTGTGATGAGAATTTTCAAAAATAATATTGAAATATAAATTAATATTATCTTTTTTGTATTTTTCAAAAAATAAATAATTATATAAATGTTAATATGCATATTTTTTAATTTTAGTATTTTAATTTGGTAAAAAAATGCTGAAAATTATAAGTTTGGTCATTACATTGTATAAAATAATAAATTTTTGGCTTAATGTATTTGATGGCTCTTGAAGATGATTCTCATATTAACTTAATAATAATAATAGTTGAATTATATAACAATATAATATATGTTAGAGTTTTTTATAACATAGGAACAAATGTTTTATATTTATTGGTGATACTTACAATTTTTAAACCTTTTCTTAAAACCAAATTTTAGGGCTTGAATTTTTTTACCTTATTTGCAGCTTTGGCTTAATTGTGTAGATATAACAAGATATCAATGTTAGTTGTTACAACATAAAATGTAAAGTGAGCATGGTTTGAAGGGTTTTTAGTTATTTACTAATTGTAGGGAAAATTAAGTACAATAATAAACTGAAATATTTCAATGAATTGTATTGACTTGTGTCAATTATTGAATCTTAATGACCATAAAATTTAATATAATCACATGTACAAGCTAATAAACTTGATACCATCATACTGAACATGTATATTCAAATTCAAATGACAAATCCATCTTTAGAAAAACAAAAAGCAAAAAACAAAGAATGAAAGAAAGAAGAACATTGTATGACCAGCAACTTTGTCCACGAACTTTATAACATATAAATATAGATTTAAATTGTTTGATTTTGTTTTTTTCCTTCTCAGTGTGACTTACATGCAATTGAATCATTAATGTAATAACTAAATCAACAAATCTATTTGAATAGAGGCCCCCATTGTATGAAGCCAAATTGGCATTCATCCATGTTGAAACTGCAAGATGGAAGCTCTAAACTCTATTCTCCAAAAAAGGAAAAAAGAAATGAATCTCATTTTGAGGCTAAATCCAAAACTAATGCAAAGATGGAAGAACTATTTTGGATGAGGACGAATGTGGAGCTGAACTCCATCGATGAACTCCGAGGGTACAAGGCTTCATTAGTCTGTCTAGAAGAGGGAGGGGCGTCGACTGTTGTTGTGGATGTGAATGAGCAAACGGAGTCGCTGATTTAGATTGTGGGGTTTAATCTGGTGCGCGATCGAGCTACTAGCACCAGATTCCGTGTAATTATGCGGACCATCGATCGGGGAAAACTCGATTTGGCGCCTTGGCGCTTGGCCAAGCCTGCGGTGCCTCGATAGGCAGGTCAAAGCGGAGAATAATTCGGGTTCGGTGACCACTGAGCAGCGGTCCGGCTTGCCGCTTCCCCGATTTGCAAAGTAGAATTTTCCAGTCGAAGGGAGGATAGGAAACTGCGTGATTGATTAGCCACAACCGGCGCCTAGGCCCTGTAAGTCGGTACGAATCGAATGCCAGATGCAGCAGGTCGGTATGTGGGATTTTGGCGCTGGTAGGTGACATTCCATCTCATGGAATCCGAGTAGTTCTTGTGAATACATGCTCTTGCCATGATTGCCAGATGGCTTTTGTATGCATTCACCGAGTTGGGGTGTGGATCCGAGGACAACGGGAGGCTTTAAAAAGATCGACTCCATAATATGACGGCTCAGCTCAAAAGCCGGACGGTGCAGTTGGGCGTTCCTATCTATGCTTGCGGTGTCCACCACATAACGTTGTGGGGTCGTGCTCGGCGCGCTACGATTTCGTTACTCGCTGGTTTTCACTGGCGCGTAGTCGCCTGCTTAGTCTGTTGAATTCGCTCCGACGTTGCGAGCCTGTGAGGATGGAAAGCACCTCCAAGGTCTATCGAGGTGTCGGCGACTGCGTTGCAATATATAGGAGTCCATGACACGGTACCCGGTGATAAATTGAGATGCTTCCTTCCCTATTCTAGATGTACAGCGGCAGACATTCTCGTGTCTTGTGTTAATCATTACATCTGGTCGTTTTTAGTGGACGTAGATTGCCGAGAACTTCGTTACTTTGTTCTGTTAGGGCGTGAGATCCGTCATGTGAGCACTGACGGGAGGAGGTTCACTATGATCCTTGGTCTCATCTGATAGAGGCAAAGCAATAGGAATCACGATGATAGCAATTGCCTATGTAGAAGCCAGGGTTGGAGCATTCGACGTTCACAAGGAACGTCGCGCCACCAGAAAGTCAAGCAGGCAAAGTCCCGATTGACTCTCACAGCTTGCCGCTATTCGATCCCGCATCTCGTTGCAGTGCAGCGCGCACAGCGTCTCAGATTCGGAATTCTGGGTGCATTGTTGTCCTGTCGTGAACGTTTATCACCTCCTGGAAGTTGGCTTTGTTACGCCGTATAAACTCGCAATTCCCGCAGGTCGATTGACTGCGACGGTCCCAGAGGAACTATCAACAGCGATTTGGTCAGAAGCCTTATGTTCGTTCTCGAGGCGAGGAGCTTAGGGTTAGGTTGAACATCAGAATGATTCAGAAATTGACACCACCTGAGACCGAAGTTGCGGACTTGTGCCACGAGAACCCTTACCTGAAGGCTCACAACGTAAGTGTCTTCGGCAATGGGGACCAGTGGCTAGTGTTTGGACACGGCTTCGGCAGTGACCAATCCGTCTGGCAGCTCGTAGCCCCTCACTTCTCGAAGACGTACAAGGTTCTTCTTTTTGACTTGATGGGTGCGGGATCCACAAACTCCCACAGCTTTACTTTTTCACGTTACAATACTCTACATGCTTATGCTGACGACTTGCTTGCGATCCTGGAGGAGATGGACATCCAGAGCTGCACATACGTTGGGCATTCGATGTCTGGCATGATTGGGTGCATAGCTTCTATCGAGAGACCATCTGTCTTCAAGAAACTCATTCTCATGGCAGCATCTCCCAGGTAAGCATTCTGATGTGCTTGTCGATGTAACTCCGGTGCCGACCCACTTTGAAGTGATAGCCTGAGCTTTGGGTTTTCGCGGTTTCCAGGTACATTAACGATGATAATTACATCGGTGGGTTTGAGTTGGAGGATCTCCTTGAGGTTTTCGCGGCCATGCAATCAAATTTCCGAGCCTGGGCCACTGGTTTTGTACCTAAGGCGATGGGAGCAGACATTCAGAGCTGGCCAGTTCGAGAGTTCACCCGCACACTCTTCAATATGCGACCAGACATAGCTCTTGGTGTCTCCAAGACTTGCTTTGAAAGTGATCTCCGGCCTATTCTTCCGCAGGTGAGCTCCCATGCTCAATTGCCTTTAATGGTTCTTTTAGATATTTTTAGTATCGACCAGTGATCCTGATGATGATGTTGATGTTTTGCAGGTTACAGTTCCATGCTACTTAATGCAAACCGGCATGGACATATCTGTATCCATCGAAGTAGTCAAGTACATGGCTGCCCATCTCGGTGGTAAGACAGAGGTTGAAATTTTGCACGACTTAGAAGGTCATTTGCCTCACCTCACCCATCCTGCGGAGGTTACTGCGATGCTCCAACGTGCCTTGCTCTGGGCTGCCTGATGCTTTAGATCCTTAGAATTGTGATTATAGTGCAGACGACGTAACAGTCACCGATCCAGGGGTTTTTGTCCAGCATCAAGAGTTGAAGAAGCAGCAACTCACGTTCACCTAACACTTGATCGGTCAGTGTCGTAAACTTTAGAGAAGAACTTTATTCCCTTACTACTTTTCTGACAGCGCTAGGTTATAATCTGGAGAGAAACATGTGGATAGGTGAGAAACGTTATCAGTTAGACTTGTACAGAAATCCGTGGATAATTTTTTTTTACAAATTCCCTCTCCTACATGCATGTAGTACAACGTGTTTTGTGCCTTTCTGAAGTGGTCCACTAGATTTTCTTTCAATTTTCGTAGTGGATGCAGAAACTTATCTACAGTCACTTGCTAATGGCGGAAATATTGGTAAGAGATGTCTCAGGTTTGTAATAGCCGTTCCAAGCTTTGATTTCAGACGGTGCAACAGTAAAGCGATGCTAGGCGTTCTGAGATTCTCTCATTCGCCCGCCCATGCTGCACAGAAGTACTTTCTTTCAAGCAAATCGTAGTGGACAAGTGGAAGAATAAAGTAATACTATTAACTGGTCGGAGAAAAAACAAATCCTACTGATCCGTTCACACGTTGCGAGACAGCTCACTCTCTAAATTACGACAGAAGATATCGTAGTGAGAACGTAGGCAGGGAAGAACTCGTGCTAGTTCTCAATGTTATGTGTTTTCCTTTCCTCTATTTATATAGTTATTCTCCTGATTCGAAGTATGTAACCTTATTATCAAAATAATTACTCGGTTGCGTGAAAGAAAATTAAACAAAGGAATTTCGCATCTGCAACCCATTTGTCGATTCTTCCACTCTGATCACCAATCCGCTCACATTCTCACGATTTTTTCGTAAGGAAATCCTTATCAATGTCAACTGCAGGATGCAGTAAGAAAGTCTCTGTAAACCAACTAAGATCGTGTGGTGTGCAACACTAATCGTCACCACCCGTAACCTTGCCGCGGTAGTACCGTCCTACTTCCACTGCATGCTAATAACCGATCAATCGTGCAACGGAGTTCTAAACTGGCGGCATTGAGGTTAAGCCTGGCGGTTACTACAGTAACTGCCAATTCTTCTCGCTCGTTCGACGACTTCTAGAAACAACAGACCTGCTGAGCACGGGGCGACCATGTGGCAACTGGGTGTGAAACTAGACAACCCACTGGATTCATCGGCAGGAAACAAGGGGACCTGAGTAAGGATCCGTTCATTCAGGCAAGCAGGCAGGCAGTCGAAGCTTCCACCCGTCAATGAAGCAGGATGAATTTAAAATTCACGAGAGGCGCAAGGAAGCGAGTGAGTGGGTAAGGTGGCACTTCCCCACACACACTTCAATCACGGCGATCCCTTAGGGACGCAGACTGGAGTGGGGTTCTCACGAGAGCTACGACAAGCGCAGATCTAGCAGTTGCGTATCAGCAGGCCCATGGCCCATGGCCACAACACTTCCGTACTTCTCCCCCAGTCCACCTCCATTCCCACTCCCCACACTTCAACTCAGCTCTATCACAAGCAGGACCCAGCATCGCAATCAGAACTGCGGGTCTCCCCCTTCACCGCGGCTTCTGATAACGCAGTGAAGCGTGCCTTTGCTGTTGCAATCCCACAGCAATTTTGGTTGTTTCTAAAACTCGTTTGCAGTTCTGTTCATCCTTAAATGTTTTGTTCATATTATAGTGTGTTCATCCATGCTTGTGGGTGGAAGTATGTGATAGCTCAGCTGTAATATCCTCACCAGTCTTGTGGAAAAAATTAGCACATGAGCACTCTTGATGTTGAATAATAATATTATTAATAATAGTGACGATGATAACACATAAGAAAAGGAGGAAGGAAGAAAGAAAAATGTGTAATGGTGTATTTGTTAATGATCTTAGAATATCAAGATATGTTATGTGGTTGCATTGGCTAGATTGGTGACTTGAATCGTAGTGTACTGTCCTAATTTTAGCTTAGATCATAGAAGAAGACAATAATAAACTACTATTGAATTGTAAGAATCTCTCTCACTATATATATATATATATATGATTTTAAAATTATCATGTAACAATTATGGACCAATAGGTTTATGTTATTTTCATGATTGATTAAATATTTTACCGTAATTTAGGTTTCAGTTTTTATAATTGAAAAAACATGTATTCAGGAATCATCAAATATTACATTTAATTACCATTAAATAAAAAAATATACATGTATTTACAGTCAACAACACTTCTTTTTTCTTTTTGACCCAGAAGGCATGATGCGAGAATTTAGGAAATTTATTTATTTGAACGTTTATTCGTTCATTATGAATTTTAACTTAGTCTACTTAAGTATAGAACTATCTTTTTTATTACACACACACTAACTATATAGAAAGATAGATTCACAACAACAATTGTACACGAGGCCTGGTGCAAAGAGGTTGATGAGGGATGAGAGCGCGGTGGAGCCGCCCACAGATCAGTGCAGTAACGGGAAGATGAAGAAGAAGGTTAGTTCCGTGAATTAAATCTAGACAGGGTCCGACTGTGCATACGACTTATGGTAGAATCTGGTAAACCTAGGGCTGGTCAAATCCGGAGCCCTGATCGGAAATAGGGGATAGATCATGTGAGGAATCTGAGCCCGACCCAGGTCTGTTCTGTTGCAGGAAGTCGCAAAGGAAGGAATGAATGAAGCTCCTTGAACTGGAAGCAGATTGCCGGTTTGATTCATCGGCTCTCACACTCGCTCGCTCGCTCAGTCCCGCTGTGGGGCCCCGGAGCTGGGTCCTGTGAATGTCTCAGAAACCGATCTTTATGGGAACCCTGCTTTCAGAAGGAGGCTACGATACGCCAGGGATGCATTTAATGCATGAATTCTTCTCTGCAAAAGATGGCTCAGCTCCAAATTTGCAACTTGCTTCACGGCCGTCGTCAGAGGGAGACGATGATGATGATGACAACGATGACGAGGATATTGGGCCTGTTGACAATCTCGGTCTCATCCTGGTTAATATCATGCTTATCTCACACTCCAGCGCTCTGGGTTGGTTCGCAGGAAGCAGCACTTGGGGTTCGATTTGGCATTACTATTCCTTGTGGCGAGAACTGGGAACTTCCAAATTTGCGTGATTGCACGAACTGTTGGTTGTGGTGCGAGCAACTGTTCTGCATTCGTGCTCTTTTGGGTTTTACTCGCTATTACAGAGTGACACATCGCGATTCATTGTGTATCTTCCTGGGCAGAAAAAAGAAAAAAAAAGAAGAAGAAAACCTTGGTGATATTTGGTGTAATAAGTACAGTCCTTGTGCTGTCCGTCATCGACAGTGCCTCGAAGCGGCGTTACTTTAATCGTCAGGGCAGTGTTGCTTGATCGGAAAGAGGACATTGATGTACCTCAAGTTGTAAAAAGTTGGAGAATAAAAACAAAAAACCTGTAAATCTGTGCAAGGCAACCTCGTGCACATCGTGAACAAAGAGGGCGAATTCATACCAAGCATCTCTGAGGCCGTCGACTTTCAAAAGTCGTCATTGATAAGCCGTAAAGTTAAATCCTAGAGACCTCCCAATAGCAGCTTAGATTTTATAAATGACCAAAGTTAGTGATGTATTGTTACAGGAAAGACGCATGAGAATTGAGGATTGCGTTGTGCCTGTACCCAATGATAGCTCAAGAGTAAGTTTCAGCACCAGAATAGCATAGCACACTTCGCCAAGTTGAACAATATTAAATATAGTATCTCTTAAAATGTAGAAGAATGTAAGCGAATTTTCCTTTGGATAAGCCTGTACCTGACATTCTTAAACCACTCATCTTGTAGATTTTTCTATGGATGCTGGCTCCCACAAAAACCTCCGAGGGTTAAGCGCCACTACAATTACTTGCTTGCTGAGTCCACTGGTGTGCGCTGATTACAACACCGTGGACTCTATTTTCAGATTATAGGATGAATCCACCACTTGTTGAAGGCCTCACGGTGTCATTCTTTTCACAGATGTTAGTCCACAAAAATATACAGGGCCCATGAGCCTGACCATGTTGAATTTTATTGGTTAGCATCTGAAATTTCCTTGTGCCTTCCCAAGTCTTCCAAATTTTCTGCCACATATTGACGGTTCCTTGTGATTTATACAGAAGCCAATCGTTGAAGATCACTATTCAACGTTTCCCGCTGCAACAATAATTCTAGAGCTCCTTCTTAACATTGCCATACATCTCGCCGCACTTCGTTCAAGCTCTGCTGTCATGGTTGTGAAAACAGTGTGATTAGGTGTAGCTCCAACCTGGCTTCAAGATCGACTCTCCAGGTAAACATCCAGAAAACGGAAAATCAATGCTCGCAGGGGGGGGAGCCTGAATGATGCAGCAGATTTGTAACACATGTTGCCAATACTTCTAAACGATAAAATCAAGCTCTCATGCCCATGCTACTGTCTAAAGAAGATGATAATATTTGTACAAACCATGCCAGAACTTTGAATGTCGATCTGTACTGAAATCCGGATGAAAGCAGGGATGTATAGGACAAAGGAAGTGCTAAATAGCTTCTAATTTCATTCTATTGTCTCCAGGCAGCGGCCACCAACCCGAAGCGATGACCCGATTATTGAACTTTTTTCTGGTTTGTCTTGTCCACCGTTTTCGAATGCACATTAGCTCTACTCCAGAATCAATGTGTACAGTGTACAATAATTCTATGAATGATGCATTGCAAAAGTATTCGAAATGCTTAATTAAAGTTGTAACCAGGTATGGCAAGAAATGCAGAAGAAAAGTGAAGAAACCAGTTTTTCAACGAACATCTAAGTAGTAAGGCACTAACTGAGGTTAAAAATAGCAATATCAGAACGATCTTGAGTCTGAGAGGTACTCGTCCTGGAATGAGAATTCATTGAAAGGGCAATCTTACCCATTTGGGAGGGGGGGGGGGGGGTTGAGAGCGATGGCGGAACCTCCGATGCGCTCGCCGCAGCACACTCGGCCATCCTTCTAACGATTCCATGCTTGGACTTAGCTTTTTCCCACTGGATCTCTAACCCCCTCTTGGCATAAACATTTTGTTTGGTTGTCATACTTGGCACAAGAACCAAGAGGTTTTGAGTAGGGTGCAACACAAAGAGGTATTAGGATCATATTAGGGTTTACAAGAGAATTAGACACCTTAGTAATTGACAAGCATAGTATATGACTTAGGCCCTCACAAGTGGACACTACTCATGTGAGGAATCTTCTACACTCAAGTATTTAAATTTGCATTAATAGGAAGAAGTAGTTCAATGGATGATAGATCTATAAAGTAATTTTGATACAAAGTAATTGGACAATATAGATTTAGTAAGTCCAAGAATAGAATTGTTAGAACTAAAAAAGAACTATTAGATAACTCTACAACTAGTTTTGAGAAGATTTTGTAGGAAGAGTTAAACAAATTGCTTAAAGTTGATTGTTATTCATTGAAAGAAAAAATAAAATATTTAAAAAAATATTGTAATAATTACTATATTTACCAGTAGCAAAGTTTCAAACATCTTATTAGAACAATAGTTTTTTTAATTAAAAAGAAAAAATATAACATGTTTTGAAAATGAAAATATTTCTAAGAATGTAATATATTCTTTTTGTTAAAAACTAAAATTCTTAGAGTTTTTGGAAAAACACAATTTTTTTGAATCCTAGTGTAAATAAAAATAATCAAAAGCAGCTTTTAAAAACACCTATTAATTACTAAGGTTCTAAAGGTAAAGAACAAAGAAGACCTCTTTAACAACTTTCTTCAAATATTATTAGTTTTATTAATTTATTATACATACATTCA